AAATAATAAATTACCTCTAATAAAAATTATAAAAGATGTGTCTTCAAAGAGAGAGCGGCTTTAACTTACAACTGTGAATTGCTTAAAGAGAAAAGAATTAATAAATGCTGAATTACTCTGATGATTATTTAGCACATAATTCACCTATTCATAACGACTCCTAGTAATCAGACTGGTGTTTCACATTCTCCAATATGAGGCAAGACTGTTTCCTCAGCAATTTTCCCCTTATCAGATTATCTCGTCTGATTCTATTAATTTTCTTCCATGAATCTGCTCACAGTGATTTGTGATTTACTTACCCAGCTAACTAAAGACTGTTAAAAGGATTTATCTAACACTAGACCTAAGAACACTATATGTCTTATCATTCAGTTACTCTGAGCAACTCTTTCCTCACATCGAGTTAGTTGCTTTCATGGTGAAATTTAGTGGACACTGGTTAGTTCTGCACCATAAAATCAGTTCCTGGATAAACAAAGAGTTCAGACATTGCCCTTGATGCATCTTGTTCTTTTTAGATTACATATGTCTGATTTTGACATGATATACCTGAGTTGCTACAACTCACAATCAGGAGAAATATATTATTTTTAGTGTTTAATCATTGTAATTTGGACACAAGCAAGTCCCCACTCCCCCCCCCTTTATTTTTGCCTAAAGTTCTTATGTATGTACTGACATGAAACTACATCTGTGCTTTTGATGTTCCGGTTTCGCAATCATCTTCTGCAGGATTCGACCCATACCCTCCCCCTCCACATTCTTCTATAAATATTCACTGCTTTCAGAAACTTTAATACTACTGGTTTGAATTGGTCAATAATGACAAACGCTTGGTTTCTAAATTACTCTATATTGTTCTACAGAGATTACTAGAATATATATAGCAAGAGGATATTAAGCAGTAAGAAAACACAGTTCATATTGTATTTGGATTAGACTAGCTTGGAAGAAGGGAAACAATGTTCCCAAAGAAGTCTAAAGAAATGTGGCCTTGCTGTAATTGTAGAGAATCAAAAATCTGAATAGTACTAATTAAAATGAGAGAGCTCAATTGTTACAAAAGAAACGCCGCTAACAGAGAACTGTAAATGTTTAGACACCCCTGTGAATCACTAAATAATAAAGCAAAAAGGACAAAAATGAGAATTACGTTCTAAGAGCACTACCGCTACACATCTAAAAAAATAATTCTAATCCTCTCTCCCTCTCTTTTTTTTTTCCAAGAGAAAATGGGAGACTGTAAAAGAGTCTGCAATAAGAGAAAGAAAAATACCATGGCTTGACAGCAGCATACAAAAATAAACCATAAAAAATGTGCAGATAATAATACATTTGGCTGCCCAAACATGGGCATTTAATTTGTAGAAATGATATATAATTGCAACAATTAGGTGCATGGCCATGAATCTGTATCCCATGGTCTTCGTCATTAGCAAACTTTGTTTATAAATGTTGTTTATTTATAAATGTAGCAGTTTCAGTGTTCCTGGCCAAAAACACTTTCATGAGAGCCAGGGATCCTATCTTACAGCTTTTAATGAAAATGTGATGCAAAAGGCTAAAAAACAAAATGATCACACACACACACACACACACACACACACAAATGAGTTAATTCTTCCTAAATACACTTATATTCATTTTACATGAAATATATAAACTTCGGACTTTTGTGGCTAATGAGAAAAAACGCATAGAAAACTATCACTGTTGACAATGCTAAAAGACATAATATGTTTATGTAATTTAAGCAGTGGATTCTCCTCTGAATACATAAACGATAATCTCTTAACTTCATTACTAGGTGGAATACTGTCGGAGAGGAGGAAAGCAAAGGAATTCTGTTAGGTTGCATAAATATTGACACAGTTTCACTCTTTCTTCCCAACTGGTAATAGACACTCTTCATTCCATCCCTACAGAGTGCTCCCGTAAAACCCAAACTATCCTTATAAACAGCTTCTCTGCGGCAGTAATGAAAAGGAAAAAGTGCTTTTCTGGAAAACACCAACGGCACTGGCATTTAGGGTTATGATGTGCCTACAAGCCCTTTGGGGAGTCTCTTATTAGGGATTCCGGGTTTGCTAAAACTAAAGGCTGCCAGCATCAAAGAAATTAACACAAGTCTAATCTGGTGTAAGAAGCCAATGAGTGACACCTAAGGTCTCATTATAAATAGGAAAGAATGTTGTGGGGTGGGTGAGAGCCATTCTGAAGTGCAATGTTCAAGAAGCTGGCTTAATATATGACTAAGTGTCAGAAGTCAGGTTTTCTGAGAATTACTTTTCAGATAAACAACTTTATAGCACTGCACTTAATCATACTTACTAGAGACATCTCATTTATCACCGAATTACAAGTAACTTTAATTCTATTGATATTTCCATAAAGCCCGTTGAAAATCCATCCTGGCACTTCTAAAGGGTTCGGGGGCCCTGTGACATGGGATTCACTTGCAAAAATCTCTGCAGAACCACACTCTAAAGGCTTCTGTGTCTTCCGGCCTCTTTGTTGACCCTCAAGGGAGAGAGTGGGGAAAAAACGATTCCCGCACCCGCCAACCCTATCCTCAGCCCCTTTCCTACAAGGTCGGGTTATCGCACTACAGTCAAACTGACTCTCTGGGCCTCAGTCCCCCTCCCACCTTGGAAAACTAGCTTCTTTGCACTTCAACAAAACTGGACAGGGATCAATTTCAACTGACCTTTGCCGAAAGGTGGCGCTGTTGAGGTAAAAATCCAACAATAGTTTTCACTCTTGGATTCTTTTGCAGGCTTTTCAGATTTTTTTTTTTTTTTTTTTTTTTTAGTGCGCCCTCCTAGCGTCTCCCCCTCCCATAAAGTAAAATAAATATGATTAACACCAAATGCATTTCATTAATTGGAGGAATCAACAGTCTCAACATCCAAGTAGGCGGGCTGGTCTTCCAAAAGCTGGGTCGGCTTGGCGCACGCTTGCTTCCCCCCAAATAAATCTCGGTTTCTCCGACTTGCCTATCGCTTTAAAATCTTAGAAACAGTTGTTGGGTCTTTCTTTTCTCTTCTTTTTCTTTCTTTCCTTTTTCTTTTTTTGCATAAGCTTTCAACAAATCGATCTAGAAAACTGAATAGTTATTAGCATCTGCCACGGGGAGGGGGAAAAGCAGCCCCCCACCCTACCCCCACTGTGGGTTTCCGGGCTGGTCCGAGAAACCGCGGTTTAAAATTTAACCCTTCGAGGGGAGCTGGTGGGAGTTGTTCCCCCCCACACACACATGCACCCCTTGCTCCTCTCCATCGTTAAGTCTGAAATAATTAAGTGAGACGTGAAAGTGCAAAGGGCGCGCGGGACCCTGATAAACAGGGGTCAGATTTCATATGGGGGTGAGTGAGCGTGTGCGTGTGTGTGTGTGCGCGCGCGCGTGTGTGTAGGGGAGGTGCGATGAGACAGAGAGAGAGACAGAGAGACAAATATGAATCTCTAAGGCCGCACTCAGGCCAGAGTTGGAAGCCCAAGGGCTGAGCCCGGCTAACCAGGCTGCCAGCTTCTCCGGAGTTAACTCGCGTAGGCGTTCGCTCCCCCCTCCTAGGGCACCCGACGCCAGCGGGCAGCCAGTCCCCGCGCGTAATGGCCCCCGAACAAGTTATATCCCTTCCTTCAAAGAGGGCGATAAAACGGGCTTTCTCCCCTCGCTGACTCGGAACCACTCGGGCTGCGCGCGGGGAAGTGGCGCCCTGCGCGCAGTTGGGACACTGAGCCCCCCACCCCCACCCCCGCACCCCTGAGCCCCCAAGCGCGCGGGCCCCGGGGAGAGGGACAAAGAGTTTGCGCTCTTTGGCTCCAAGGGCCAAGTTTGAGCTCTGGGCACAGCCATGGCTCGGGGAAGGAAGGTCCCCCGGGCAGACACCTGGGTGCCAAAGGTGGAGTGCGGAGGAAAAGCTGCCGAGCGAATTCACAGTCCCAAGGTTGAGAGCTGCCCAGGGAGCGGAGTCGGGCCAATCCCCGCAGAGCGAGGGGAGGGCAAGCCGCCGCTCCGGAAAGCAGGCCTCTCTCGCGCTCCGAAGTAAAGCCAACGGTCCTCCCGGGTTCCCGAAGTCCCTCTGGACTACTCCTTCCCCTCTTGCACCAAACTTTGCGCCGGGCTTTGCTCCCTCTCCGGGAGGCTGCGGCGCGCAAAGGGTTAAGCCAGCCTGTCCCAGCTGACAGTCAGCTGATTGGGCCCTGATTGACAGCTCCGAAAAGTTTCCTTGTTTCTATCTATTATGCTAATCGCGGCCGCTCTCGCCGCCTCCCATTGGCCCCGAGTACCAGTCAATTTCCCATTTGGACCTGACGTCACAAGTGCTATAAAACTCAGCAATTGCTTTAAACTCTTCTTGCTGGATCAGAGGCTTTTAAAATCTTTTTTCATCTTCGAGCCGTGGCTCGGGCTGCTCGTCGGCTCGGCCTCCCCCCTTTTTGCTCTCTGCCTCGCCTTTCCCCAGGACTTCGCTATTTTGCTTTAAAAAAAAAAAAAGGCAAGAAAGAACTAAACTCCCCCCTCCCTTTCCTCCAGCCGGGCTGCACCTCTGTCTTGCACTTTGCACGGAGAGCGCGCGCGAGGGAGAGAGAGAGAGAGAGAGAGGAAAGGAAAGGAAAGGGGGATAAAAATAATAAAAAGAGCAGGCAGAAGAGAAGGCGAGCAGCATGAAGTGTTAACTCCCCCGTGCCAAGGCCCGCGCCGCCGGACAGCCGCCCGCCGCGCCTCCAGCCCCGAGCGGCCGCCGCGCGCGCCCCGCCTGCAGCCCGGGCCGGCGAGGCGAGCCCTCCTTATGCAAAGCGCGCAGCGGAGCGGCGAGCGGGGGACGCCGCGCACCCGGCCGGGCTCCTCCGGCTTCGCCGCCGCCGCCGCCGCCGCCGCAGCCCGCGGAAGACCTTCCCGAGCCTGAAGCCGCCGGCTCGGCACGCACGGAGGCGAGCAGGCGAGGAGGGGCCGGGGCGAGCGAGCGAGCACATTGGCGTGAGCAGGGGGGAGGGAGGGCGGGCGCGGGGGGCGCGGGCAGGGCGGGGGGTGTGTGCGCGCTCGGAGCTTTCGGGCCAGCCACCGCCGAGCGAGCTAGAAGCGCCCCAGCCCGGCAAGCTGGCTCACCCGCTGGCCACCCAGCACAGCCCGCTGGCCCCTCTCCTGCAGCCCATCTGGCGGAGCGGCGGCGGCGGCGGCGGCGGCGGCAGGAGAATGGCATCAGAACTGGCAATGAGCAACTCCGACCTGCCCACCAGTCCCCTGGCCATGGAATATGTTAATGACTTCGATCTGATGAAGTTTGAAGTGAAAAAGGAACCGGTGGAGACCGACCGCATCATCAGCCAGTGCGGCCGTCTCATCGCCGGGGGCTCGCTGTCCTCCACCCCCATGAGCACGCCGTGCAGCTCGGTGCCCCCTTCCCCCAGCTTCTCGGCGCCCAGCCCGGGCTCGGGCAGCGAGCAGAAGGCGCACCTGGAAGACTACTACTGGATGACCGGCTACCCGCAGCAGCTGAACCCCGAGGCGCTGGGCTTCAGCCCCGAGGACGCGGTCGAGGCGCTCATCAGCAACAGCCACCAGCTCCAGGGCGGCTTCGATGGCTACGCGCGCGGGGCGCAGCAGCTGGCCTCGGCGGCCGGGGCCGGCGCCGGCGCCTCCCTGGGCGGCAGCGGCGAGGAGATGGGCCCCGCCGCCGCCGTGGTGTCCGCCGTGATCGCCGCGGCCGCCGCGCAGAGCGGCGCGGGCCCGCACTACCACCACCATCACCACCACCACGCCGCCGGCCACCACCACCACCCGACGGCCGGCGCGCCCGGCGCCGCGGGCGGCGCGTCCGCCTCGGCCGGTGGCGCGGGCGGCGCGGGCGGCGGCGGCGGCCCGGCCAGCGCCGGGGGCGGCGGCGGAGGCGGCGGCGGCGGCGGCGGCGGCGGCGGGGGCGCGGCGGGGGCGGGGGGCGCCCTGCACCCGCACCACGCCGCGGGCGGCCTGCACTTCGACGACCGCTTCTCCGACGAGCAGCTGGTGACCATGTCGGTGCGCGAGCTGAACCGGCAGCTGCGCGGGGTCAGCAAGGAGGAGGTGATCCGGCTGAAGCAGAAGAGGCGGACCCTGAAAAACCGCGGCTATGCCCAGTCCTGCCGCTTCAAGAGGGTGCAGCAGAGACACGTCCTGGAGTCCGAGAAGAACCAGCTGCTGCAGCAGGTCGACCACCTCAAGCAGGAGATCTCCAGGCTGGTGCGCGAGAGGGACGCGTACAAGGAGAAATACGAGAAGCTGGTGAGCAGCGGCTTCCGAGAAAACGGCTCCAGCAGCGACAACCCGTCGTCTCCCGAGTTTTTCATGTGAGTCTGACACGCGATCCCAGCTAGCCACCTTGATAAGTGCTCCGTGGGGGTCCGACTCGGGTGTGGGCTTGCTAGTTCCAGAGCCGTGCTCGCCGCCACCTCGCCCCCTCCCCTGCCGAGATCGCCCCCCGATGCCCCTGCACACACGCACGCACACACACATGCACACACGTGTACACACACACACATGCACACACACACACACCCTGCTCCCAGTTGGCGGTGGCGGTGGCTGTTTTTAAATGGGGAGGGAGTGGATGTCTGGCTCATGGATTGCCAATCTGAAATTCTCCATAACTTGCTAGCTTGTTTTTATTTACCGCCCCCCTCCCGCCCCCATGTTCAAAGATCTCAGCAGAGTTCTTCATGCTCATCTTTGAAACCCGCATCATTCATAGTTTTTGTTTTTGTTTTTGTTTTTTTTCTCTCCCTTCTTCAGTTCATGAGCTGGTGTTCATTTTCTGTGTGTGTGTGTTTTTATTTTTGTTTGTTGTTGTTTTTTTTTTTAATTTTACTTTTCGGAGCTTGCTGTGTTGTTGCCTTTTTTCCCAACCTCCACCCTCACGCCCTCTCCACCCATCTCCTCAGAGATAAAAGAAAAAAGAAAAAAAAAAAAAGCTAAGTTTTTTTTTTCCTCCTCCTGAGTTCTTCATATGTGAGATTGAGCTTGCAAAGGAAAAAAAAAATGTGAAATGTTAGAGACTTGCAGCGCGCTGAGTTCCATCGGGTTTTTTTTAGCATTGTGATGCTAAACTAGAGAGAGAGAAAAAAATCCTCATGAACCTACCACAATCAAGCCTGCATCAACCTGGGTGTGACTTGTGAGTTTTGGCCTTACCATGCCAAATCTGAGAGTTTAGTCTGCCATTAAAAAACTCATTCTCATCTCATGCATTATTATGCTCGCTACTTTGTCTTAGCAACAATGAACTATAACTGTTTCAAAGACTTTATGGAAAAGAGACATTATATTAATAAAAAAAAAAAAGCCTGCATGCTGGACATGTATGGTATAATTATTTTTTTTTCTTTTTTTTTTTTCCTTTTGGCTTGGAAATGGACGTTCGAAGACTTATGGCATGGCATTCGTACTTTTGTTTTATTGCCTCATGACTTTTTTGAGTTCAGAACAAAGTGCCAACCTAGAGCCTTCTTCCCATGAAAGTTTGCATCCTCCAAACTGCTTTGAGTTATTCAGAACTTCAGCCTCCCATTGGAAATGCACTGAAGGCATTCCTTGTCAAAGATGCCAGAATGGGTTAAAAATCTAACAGTAAAGAACTCTTAATGTTTTTTTTTTCTTTTTAATAAGAATGACACCCCACTTTGGGGACTAAACTTGTGCTGTTGCGGAAAGCAGTCTAAAATTTATTTTTAAAAAAAAAGAAAAAAAAAAGGAATATGCCCCGTTATTTTTTGGTTTGTTTTCTTTTTATTATTTTTTTTCTTTTTGGCTTTTGGTCATTGTCAAATGTGGAATGCTATGGGTTTCTAGTATATAATTTAATTCTAGTTTTTATAATCTGTTAGCCCAGTTAAAATGTATGCTACAGATAAAGGAATGTTATAGATAAATTTGAAAGAGTTAGGTCTGTTTAGCTGTAGATTTTTTTAAAGATTGATGCACTAAATTGTTTACTGTTGTGATGTTAAGGGGGGGTAGAATTTGCAAGGGGACTGTTTAAAAAAAGTAGCTTATACAAGCATGTGCTTGCAACTTAAAATATAAGTTGAGTATGTGTACTCTTTGCTATACCACTGACTGTATTGAAAAACCAAAGTATTAAAGGGGAAACACCCCTGTTTATATCTGTAGGGGGATTTTACATTCAAAATGTATGGTTTTTTTTTTTTTCAAATTTAAAGTATTTGGGACTGAATTGCACTAAAATATAACCTGCAAGCATATAATACACAAAAATTTGCAAAACTGTTTAGAACGCTAATAAAATTTCTGCAGTTATAAACAAAATGGCATTACTGCACAGTTTTAAGACGATGCAGATTTTTTTACAGTTGTATTGTGGTGCAGAACTAGATTTTCTGTAACTTAAAAAAAAATCCACAGTTTTAAAGGCAATAATCAGTAAATGTTATTTTCAGGGACTGACATCCTGTCTTTAAAAAAAAAAAATGAAAAGTAAATCTTACCACAATAAATATAAAAAAATCTTGTCAGTTACTTTTCTTTTACATATTTTGCTGTGCAAAATTGTTTTATATCTTGAGTTACTAACTAACCACGCGTGATGTTCCTATGTGCTTTTCTTTCATTTTCAATTCTGGTTATATCAAGAGAAAGAATAATCTACAATAATAAACTGCATTTTTTTTTTGATTCTGTGCTCAGCTTCTTAGTGTACAGTTTAACTGGGCCCAAAACCGCAGTAGAAGTGTAAAATGCATCCTTTTCTCCAGAGGAAGGATTAATGGAGGAGTAGGGAGGAAATCATTCAGGGTGAAACATAGGCTGTTTTGTGAGGCTGGGGGCGGTGGGGGGGGGGGGCAGTCCCTTTGAATAATTAGCAATATTTAATATAAATGTAAATTATGACCTCTCAAAATGCCCTTCCCCCCAAGTTTGCAGTTTTCGAGTGAGTTGAGATATCATTGCCCTCTGGTGAAAACAAACACGAAAATCTCAGCCAGAGAGTAGGGCCTTCTCAGCATGGCTCTGAGCTTCTGGTCCAACAGCAAACCCATCTAGAGAGAAGTGGGCCAGGCAAATAGGGCCCAGCACACAGGGCTTGGACACATATGCATTTAATGGTAAAGATAAACATTTCTTGCCTTTTGGCTAAAATTGATTCTTTTCCCTTCTTCCGGCTACACACTATGATTTTCTTGTTAGCCAGGCCTGCCACGACTTAACATCTACACTTTGGACAAATCAAATTGTTTGTTGGGTTTCGGGTTTTTTTTTGTGACTCGGAAGGTCATCTGTCTTAATAGGTATAAGGACCCCCTCCCCCTTACTTACATAACCCCAAGTACATCTCTGGATTTGAACTGTGTTATTAAATCATATTTCACCGTGAGTATTTAGCCAAGGGCTTCTCCACTTAGACAAGCTGGCCGTGATTTCCAATCACCCTAACTCCAGAAATACAAGTGAGCAGAAAGTAATGCCTTGGTAAAATAAAGGCTATGCTTTGATTGATTTGGGGGTGTTTGCCGCCAAACAGGCTGTGTACGGAGGCTAACTTAAAAGCTGACTTGAAAAGTCAGTCCAGCTACCTTCCCTAACAGCACTGACCTATTTTAAAATGACACAAATTCATGCAACTAGTGTTACAGATCCATGCAGTGCGCACTCCTAATCAACTGCCCGGAGAATTCTAAAAGAATGTCAGACAAAGCCAACGCTGTTTTGAAACTATAGCCAAACACGATGACTTTTGTTTTATTTCGTTTTCGGCTTGTTTTGTTTTGTTTTGTTTTAAGATATTATTGCAACTCTGAACGAAGGCCTTATTTTGAAGAAAACAGGTTGTGCTTGGCGCAGATGAGCTCTGGCCAGTTGATCATCTTGTCTTCCTTCCCCTTTTTCACAGAACGCGAAGACACTGTATACCCACTGCGTTTAGACCTTCCCTTTATGTGCCAGTTTGGACTGAACTCCTGAATCCACACTTAATGTTGCTTAACAAAACTCTTCATAGTAAACATATACTTCTTCCGGGTGCTTGAAGTTAGTTAGCTGTTCTCTGCTTCAGAGGTTGTTTTTTTTTTTCCCCTCTGATTCCCAGCGAGGAGATCTGCAGTTTCCCCCTGAAGAGGCAGAAATGGAGAGATCATTTATACAAAAAGCTCAGCATCAGATGATAGCTTTCAGGCAAACACATTCTCAAAATAAGAGTGCCGCACAGGATGGACTTAGCTGCAGTCCCCTCCTGAGGGACAGGACTTGGGAAGAAGGGCAGTTGTGCCTCACTGAAGCTTTCTGATCAGACCCCCCAGGGCAGCTCACCAGAATAAGTGGGGTTTGGCCCCAAACGTTAGAAAGCAGAGAGGCACTTACAGAAACGGGCTTTGGGTGGCTGGCTTGAAGAGAAGGTTACCTCCCTCGTGAAGGACAGTTGTAGAAATCACCGGTACTAAAAACTTTGAAATGCACTAGGAGTGGCAAACGCGAATGCATGTGTGCGTGTGTGGTTGGTTTTTGTTTTTTGTTTTTTGTTTTTTTTTAACAAAGAAATCCTGAATTCTACCGAAGTGCCCTTAGTAGAAATAAGTCTCCAAATTCGAAATAAATAAATAAATCATGTAAGGAAATCTAGCGCTCCCTTTCCACTGCATCTGAGTCTTTGTCTAAATAGTGTTAAAATTCCTTTCATTCCACTTACAGAACTGAGCCCACTTGCAATTTGGAGCCATCAGTGGGATACGCCACGTTTTGGAAACCCCAGCAATGCGTACTCACCGGTGTATTCACCAAATGAAATTTGTGTGAGAACTGTGCATTAAAAATGTATTACTATTACTATTATTATTATTATTCGCAGTCTTGGAGAACACCCCCCCCCCCCGACCTGTATTTAGTTTCCTTTTTAAAGAAAAATGATCATGTTAGAGAAGAAAGCTAGCAAATGTAGGACCTCCATGCTGGTAAACTGTTCCTCTTGCCTGAAGGTCTTCCGAGCCAACCCAGAGGAAGAAGCGCAGGGATGCTTCTGGCTCCATGGTGCGTGAAACTAAACTAGGTGCCATTGTCTTCAGCCCGCAATGTCAGCTTTTAAACAGCCACTGAAATTTACAGGAGATCTCTAGGTTTGTAGGAAGAGAAGTTCCCCAGGAGGTAACAGCTAGCGTTTTGGAAGCAGACTTGCACACTCTGAATCGTACTTTTTCACACTTCATTGTTTCTTTGGCAGATAATGTTACTAAGAAGAAGAAGAAGAAATTAGAAAAAACAAAAAACAAAAAACAAAAAACCTGCTTTCCCTTCCCCAGGCAGATGCCACGGGTGGAAGTTGCAGCCGAGCCGAGGCGGCCTGGCTCTCTGGTAGGCCCTGGATAGTATTGTACTTATCAGTGATGTCGAATGTGTGCATTTATCAGACGTAGCTGTGAGTGAAAACACCGCCTGGCGAAACACAAAGTTAGTTAAGCCACACCCTCTAGGTCCCCTTTTTCCTCCACTTTGCTGCTCCCAGGCCATTCAGAAAATCGCCTCCCTTGTATTTCCCTACTTTATTATTTTTTTTACGAAAAAAAAAAAGTGTAAGAACTTTTCACAGTGTATCTGACCCCTTAACAGACTGACATCAAAAGAGACGGAGACTGTACCTCCCGATCTTGGTGAGGACGTGAGGTCTGTCCACCTCCCTTCCATGTCCATCCGGGCCTCTTTCCCAATGGGCAATTCTTTGTTATGGAACGCGAGAGTCTAACACCCTGATCTTTCCCCCCGTCTCCCTCTACCCCAGTAGTTTTCATTTAGGGATATCAATTCTGGATAAATCTATTCTTGCACAGGACCTCCCCCATGCCAGACCACCCGTTTCCTGCCAAACACGTTGAACGGAGCAAGCCGCAGCCACCTTCACAGACGTGGTCTGCAGCCGCCTGCCCCAGGACCTATGCTCTTACCACCTCTCTGTCTGAATGACTGAAGTTGCTTCTGACACAAAGGTTCCCAGGCTATCGTACGTTGGGGAGGCTTTTGTTGATGTTGCTGTAGCTTTGTGGAGGCCAACTTACTTCCGTATTCACACACTCTTGGCTTTAGAAAACGTTCTCCTCTGGTATTCTAGGCCAATCAATATTTTTAAAAGTCTGCTTGCCACACAGGTGTCTGCAGGTTTGGCCTGTCGGTAGTTAAAGCCTCACGGAGGTGGACTCTGACTCCCGTGCCAGTGAAACATAGAGCCAGGCTCCTGGCCTCACTTTCCACGTAAACACGCATAAAAGGAATCAGAGGCCAGATTCCTCCCCTTGGAGATAGCTGATTCGCGAGGCTCCCCACTGTCATTTACTTTCATTTGATTTTGGAAAAAATAATGGTGCCCCTTCCTGTGAAGAAATGGCTTCGTCTTTTTTTTTTTTTTTTAAGGGAAGAGTTAGCCACAGTGATAGGCTATAATTTCCACTGCTTCTGATTCTTCCTCAAGATGCCGAATGAATTATTTGGAGTCGGTGCCTTCCTTGTTGGTTTGAGGCGAATAAGAGAAACCTGAAGTTTGTTCTCACTCTACGTGTGAAAGATGCCCCCAGCCCAAAGCGGGGCGCACAGTGGCCATCTGTGCAGGAGATGGTCCAGGGCCCGGGCGTCTGAGTCAGGATTTGTTTGTTTGTTTTTGCATTTGTTTTAAAACAGAGCAGGAGCCTTAGCCCACCTTCTGATAACCCTGCTTTTCTCACTTTTGATATAAATCTTCAAACCCTAGACATCAAACAGCCCCCAGAAAAGGGGAATTCTCTTCAAGCCTTGCTCCGCCCCAGCTCCTGAACAAACCCAGCTCTGTCTGGCACTTTTTCTCCAGTGGGGGGTAGGGGACAGGGTGAGAGAATTTCAGTCTCCCAGGCTGTCTCATGATTGTCGGGGCATAAAGAAGTACAGTCCTGTAACAATGCGGGGACATCTTTACCCTTTAGAGAGGGACAAAACAGAACACAAAGCAGATCCGATTGCCCCGCGCAAAGGCATAGCAAGACCCCGGGCTCCGTTCTCTGCACCCTCTGTGGGTGGTGACAAATGAGGGTAACGAGGCAGAATGGTGGCAAGGCAAGGTGCCTGGAAGGCCAGACTTCCGGAATAATCCCGGTGACCGGTCTGAATTTCACTTGCTCGCCGGCTAACGTCAGGCACAGCGTTCACGTGGGTCAGGTGCAAACAAGGTCTGACGGTCCGTTTCATTCCTATATGCTAGCATGTGGCCCCTTTGCCCAAACTGCGTTAGAGCTTAAACCCAAACCGAGGACTGGGGGGGGGGGGGGGGGGGCATTTTCACTGGTTCAACTTTGGGACCTTTGTAAAGATACCAGGCTGCGATTTTCTGGAATCACAGCGGTGACATTCTGGATCCGACAGATGTCCCCTGCCAATATCTACAGGGCCCCGCGATAGGTTGTAGGCTATCACGGCAGTTTTTATTCTTTAAATTTGAAAGCCCTTGGTGCACACGTGTGTTTCCCTGAAGTTTGTCCCCTGTAGTAAGGCTGAGATAAAAAGAACACATCCATAGCCCACAGAAATCAGATCTTTATACGAATTTTGCATTGGAGTTGGACAGTTTGAAGACACTCACAGAACACGTTTTCCACAGAGAGGCTATGATTGGAATGACAGTCCCTTCCTCGGATCATAATCATCTCCTGAGCACCTCTTCCTCTGTTCAAGAAAATTCATTTCCCGCTCCTTTCTTTTTGTTAAATAACAATTTCTCCCCCTATAATTAGGACTCTGGATTGCAAAATCACATTCCTCTCTTCTCCACAGATTCTTGGATCTTTAGTGGCGATTAGAAAGGGGCATTAATTTAAGAAGGGAGGATGAGGGAGGGGCGTTTGTGGACATTCGGGAAGAGGAGGGGAGGGGAGGAAATAGTTCTGTGTTCACCCCCACACCCCTCGGCCCCCGCCCAGCCCAGGCCTGGGTGTGAGCACCGCTCTGGGGATTTGGATTCTGAGTTTCTTCTAACTATTCTGATGACCAACCTTGAGCATTTCCAAGCTAAGATTCCAAAACATGGTTTTTCCTTGTGGTCGGTGGTTTCAGTTAGGGAATAGGAGAGGCCATGAAACCTTACAGAACTGGGCAGAGACGCGTGAAAACCGCTCTTCTCTTCTGGGAGAATCCCCAGGATGGCTGTTAGGGGATCCTGGGCTGAAAAATCCATGGATGGGGGGGGGGCGCAGATTTCCTTTGGCAAACAGAATTTGCCCCGTAAGTGGGCTCCTGGCCTTCTTTGGGAGCATTCTCCAGAAGGAAAGCAGTTCTGAGGACCCTGGGCCCGATAGGCCATCCCAAACTAGGCCAGAGGAGCAGAGAACAGGAAGGGGCTGGTGTGCAGGGCTGTGGAGTAGTGTGCTATCAGAAGGCAGCCCTGGCTTAAGATCCAAATCCAGGGATCAAAGCCATGTCAGTCCCAGGGCCCCACCTCGCACCAGAAGGGATCTGCCTGCGTAACTGACAAGAGACTGGCAGCCCCCCTGAGATCCCTGTGGATCCTAAATACAATGCGCATGTCCTGAGCTCCAGGGCTTTGTTCTCTTATCACCTGACCCTTGCCCCATTCCAGTGCCCTCTCCGTAATCTTTACCACCTCTTTCTCCCAGGCCTAGTTGCCCAGGCCCGTCAGAGAGTCCGAGGTCACTGCCCTTGGGCCAGAAGGCAGTGCCTAAGCTAAGGCAGAGATCGAAGTCACTCCTGCCCCAGTTTAGGTGTGGCCAAAGCCAGGGCTGGAGAGAAGCGCTGGCAAGCTCGGCAGGGAGAGGAGCTGGGAGGTGGCTCTGGAATGTTCAGCACAGGCTGCAGAGTCTGGTCCCAAGGGTCTTGAAACCTGGACTCCAGGAGATGAAGGCCTGGAGGATGCTCAGGTTGTCCATCTCTGGGTTTCCTTGCCTCCCCTCCGCCCCCACCCTAGTCCCCTTGCACAAAAACTCTCTGTTATATACACTTGCTCCTCGGCCCATTCGCCCTGGTCACCACTGCCCCCGGGGCCAGGCTGCTGGGGATAAGTGGGCCCCTGGCTGGGCGGCACAGGTGTGGACGGACAGGAAGCAGGAACCTGGGGGGCGGGTCTCGGAGGCTGCCTGAGGTCACCGGGCAGTCCCCGTCCTCCCCAGACCCCTGGCTGCGCCCCGGGAAGGCTAGCAAGCTCCTGGCTGCCGGCCCCAGGCTCCCCGCGGAGAAGCCCAGGGCACCTCCCCGGCTCCTGGGGGCGCCAACCGCCGCAGTCCCCAGCGCGCCCCTGTGCCCCGCGCCCATCAGGCGCGCACGCCCCAGCAGGGGCCTCGGATTTGTATTGGAATTTGGTTTAATTTTCCAAGAGGACTGCTCGGCCAGAGTGGAGCGCCAGGGGACATCTAAACTGTCAGCTCTCCGGCGCTCCCCGGTGGGCGGTGGGTGCAGAGAGAGAGAGAGAGAGAGAGAGAGAGAGGGAGCCGGGTTGGGCCCTAAAAGGCTCCACCCCTCATCTTGGGACCCCCCACCCCCACCCCCACCCCACCCGCCAGCCAACCCAGGAGCTTGAAGATCACCGGCCGCAGATCCCTTGATTTTGACTCTATTAATTTCCCAGCTTTTTTTTTTTTTTCAGATCTGTCTTTTTTTTTCCTGCTCTGGTTAGAGGGGAGGGAAAAGAGAAAGGAAAGAAGGAAACCCAAATAGCACGTTTTACAGGCTTCACAGAGATCTCTGTATGGTTGGGGGTTCCCGTGGTATGGTTTGATGCTCCTTATAAAGGAAAGCCAGGGAAGCAAACTTTATTAGGATTTGGC